ACAGAGCTAAAAGACGGAGCTGACACTCTGCATCAAAGGTTTCTCTGTGTGCCAGATGTTTGTTAGCAACAGGCTTTGAACAAGGCTCCAGCAGGTGAGCTTTTCTTCCTCCCCATTCACTTACTTCTGTGTATTCATGGTCTCTGACTCACCGTGGATATGGCATTGACCATGCCGTTAGTGATCTGATCCTGCCGCATGTGCTTGACCACGTCGAACTGAGCTGCTCTCTGCTTGGGGATGATCTGGTCGGCGATTTTCTTCAGCTCAGAGTTAAACTTCTTGAACAGATCTTCAAACAGCAGAGACAGCAGCTGGAAGAGACACAGACAGTGAGAACTTCTTATTCGCTCGTCAGCCGTCCTCGTGTCTTCTCGCGTCTCCGCCACGCATGTTCGCGTCTCTAATCAGCGCTGAGGTGCGTTTACCGTCAGATTTAATAACCAGGTGTGCCGGCTTACAAATAAGCCTGACCTGGCCTCTGTCCCAGGTCCCTGTCCTCCTCCGCCAGGCCTACAGGAGGCAACCTCTCTCACAACCCCCACCCACCCTGTGCATTAGCATACATCAAAACAAACAGGCAGCGCTGCTTGAAATTAATAAAGAAATTAAGCTTCCGTTGCGCAGCCAGGCCAATTAGTTGAATGTCAGGGAACCATAATTGGAGAGTGAGGAGATTGCTGGCGTTGTTAGTGTGTAAGCCCCCTATTGAAAGAGGGCTCTGTGCGCCCCCCCCCTCCTCCCCATCTCCTGCTCCTTACACAGAGCAGGTTGGGGGGGAAATTAAAGGCCTTAAGACAGCCGTAATTACATTATCAGAGCCGGGCCTGCGGATTAGCTCAATCGCTCCAGTCAAGGCAGCATTTCTATTGTCACGGTGCTGAAAAATCCCCATGCTTCCACATCCTCGGGATTTTGGTGCCACCGCATATCTCTCTCCTGACAAAGCCAGGCTGAAATACAGGGAGGGAGGAGGTGGAGGTGGAGGGGAGGGTGGTGGTGTTCGAAAACAAAACAGGGGAAAAACAAAGCTGAGGGGAAATAATGAGAGTCTTATTAAAAAGAAGGTGGCAGGAACAAAGATGCAGGTGAGAGATCAGGGCCGGAGCCGGCGCTGTCCTCCGGTGCAGCGCTGTGATCCGTTCCCACTGAGGCATGTGAGCGTTGCCGCCGTATTTCTGGGCACGTTTGTTAACACGCATCCAGCCCGTTTTGTTTTCTAGCAGCTCTGTGAGTAAAGAAAAAGGGGGCAGTATACGGCATTTGCTTTACGGAAACGAGTGAAATGAAAACGGCCCAGTTCAACAGGAAGCCTTTAATGTCAGAACCGGACTCATTTACAGTCCATCAAACTAACAAATGAAGTGAACATAAAGGAGCTGATGTTTGGGTCTTTTAATATAAAGAATGACAAAATAGGAGGATTAAACAGTAAATTGACAGACGTGGGTGTGTAGAAGTTCACCTGTCCAGCCAACTCCAGACGCTTGTTGCCGTAGTAATCTCTGTCGTCCACCTTGTTGTCGCCTTGAGCCAGAATCACCCTCCGAACCATCACGGCCAAGTATATGCACTTCGCCCGAAAGTTAAACTCTTTGACCTGCAGACAACATATGATGTGATGAGTATTTAGTGTGGAGGTCAATGTGGATGTCTGGTCTGTGTACGTACAGGCACGTGTGTGAGGATGAGAGACGCCAGCAGCTCTCTGGCCTCCTCCATCTTGGTCTTCTTGGGGCCTCCCCACATGCGCTGTCGCCTCACTTTGTTCCCGAGATACCTGAGAGCCTGAAAGACAGAGACACAGCAAAGGTCAGGGAGCAGAAACCTATAAACGAACAATTAACTCCTCACAACCAGGGAGACACGAAACAACCGCAGAGACGCTAAACAACCACAAAAAGATTTAAAACAACCTTAAAAGGACGCTAAGATGAGAAACTCCAGGTTAAGTCTGTATCTGTGATTAGTATTGGAAAAGTTTGCTGCTTAAAACAAATATTGGCATCGATGTTGCACCTAAGTTGGGAAATTCAAACCAGAATAATAATTTTGGATTCTTTAATTACGGGAACATTATGTCACAAACTTTGCATTAAATTTAGAAAACCGAATCTACACACCAACAATCCGCCCAATCTAAAGCGAAAACATGTCAGAGAGCCTTCAAAGAGCAAATCATACAATCTGCACCTTAACTCTATATATATATATATATATATATATGTGTAAATATGTTTGGGGTTTTTTGTCATTGAAATTGTCTTTCGCACACGTCTGCTGTCCTCTTGTTGCACTCTACTCTTTGCACTACACTCCACACACGACTTTTCTACTTGACATATTACACTTACTGTACATTTTATATTTTTATTGTTTATGTTTTATTATTTATCTGTATTTATGATGGTGGTAACTTTATCTTTGTGCTGTAACAACAAAAATTTCTCCTTGGGGATTAATAAAGTATTTCTATTCTATTCTTTTTTTATTCTATTTTGATATTTCCTGTACTTCCTTTTTTTTTTTTTAACTCGATTATATTTCTATCTGTATTCTTGGGCGGGAAATGTTCATGTAACAAGAAAGAATTTCCCCTCGGGGATAAATAAAGTATTTCTGATTCTGATATTCTCCATCATGATGCAGCTCCCCCTGACGTCACTTTTACTTTTTAAAAAAAAAAAATCTTCTTCAGAATCATATCAAACCAGAAAACTCGTCAAAGCCAAGAGATATGAGAATCCTTTGAGTGGGTTGGATTTAAGTTAACAAATATTTTAGCCCAATAATCTGATGAAGAGGAAAACATCAACATTTTTCAACTTTTTANCAGAGGTGATTGTTTACTTGTAATATTCTATCAAATAATATCATATTTAAACTATATTTTGCCATAACTTGTTGCTTTTCAGATGTGCAGGCTTGTGGTTGTTAAATATTATCTTTCAATGCTTTTTTTACTACTTTTTGATATTGTGTAGACTAAACAACTAAACAGTTATTTAAGAAATGAATCAGAAACAAATAGTAATACTTGTTGTCACCCTAATTCTTATCTTTACTATTATAGCATATTAGTCTTCCAGTAGGCTGCACATTCAATCCAACATGGAGAGCTGTTTGGTTCTGCGTCTGTCTTTGTGTAACCTTCGGACTGTGTTGACAGACCAGGCCTAGCTGTCGAGGCTCACCTCTCCTTCAGGGGTGTCGGACGGACACAACATCCCCCACTGCGACGGCTGCAGCGATCGAGGACCGCTGACCTTCCTGGTCTTCTCAAACTGGGATGAGATCCTGGTCATCATGCCCAGAGCGGAAATATAGGAGAGCCGAGACAGAACCTGGGTGACCCCCTGACGGTCCATCTTGAATCTCTTCAGAGACCAGTTGCCCTGTTGACAGGAAACAGCAAAGCCACGTGTTCACTATATCTACTACCTATCATTGACCATATGAGCTATTTACATCCTGCTAACCCGTTTTCATGACTAAAAGGTAAAACCTGACCTTTAAAATCTAACATTATTACATTAATTAGGCTTAAAACCCAGATGCTGGTGCGTTCAATGTCTTGATTGGATGCGTTGATTAAATCATCACTGAGCCTCCATCTGTTAACATCAAACTGCAGCTTTCTTCAACAGAAGCTGTGGGAGCAGCTAAGAAAGCACGTGTTGGCTTTTTAGAAACTACACTATTCTTTTAGAAAAGATCATTCTTTATTGATCCCCATAGGAAAAGTACATTAAAAGTTCAGGTTTGGGCTTCTGAAATCAACCCTGAATATAAAATTCAACCCTTTGAACCCCAAAACCCAGTGACAGGTTTGGAAGGCATGTTGTTTTTCCTAAATAATAATAATAAGAAAAAGAAAAAGAAGAAGAAGAAGAAGAACAACAACAACAACAACAAGACATTTGTTTTATATAGCATTTTTTAAGAAACCGCTTGACACCACAACAAAGAAAAAATAAATAAAAAATATCAAAAAATCATCAAACTTACACCATTTATCAGAGCCAAAATCTGATTATTGTCTGATTTAAAGAAGTCAGAAGTAAAGCAAATTAAAAAGGTGACTAGTAAACTGGAGAACTGGAGCATTAAAGTATTGGTAACCTTGGAAAAGTGCTGTACATGNGGGTTGGCTTCATTTTTCAGGGCCGGTTGCTACGTCCATCTTTTATACAGTCTATGGACAGAATAAGATAATGAACAAACACTGAACCCTGGTTGGTGTATACATACACTGTGTATCATCAGTATTTATTCTTTTTTTAATTTTATATTCCAGCCCACCTGCAGAGGCGCCCTCCGTCAGATGAGATGTAGACGCAGCGGTCGGTCAGATTGGTGGAGATGGACACGAACTCGTTGATGAAACCCGCCCTGCGCATCAGTCTGAAGGTGTTGACGAGCTTATGATGGTCTCGAATCACACCGAGGATGTTACCTGTGGAGGTGAAACAGACGGACGGCGTTGGTTACAGGAATACATCATTGATTTACAGTTAATTATTTCTGTGATTTTGTGCGAGCCAGAGGAGTCCGACAACGAACGAGTACTATTTATTTCCTTGTTTCATCAAATAATGAGCAAATGTGGCAACCAGTGATGTGATATTTTGTTTACTTTTTGGAGAACAACAGTAAAACAGGCCTCTCGCAATGGACATCTTCAGTCTAAAATGTAAAGATGCTCCATTTACTATCACCCAAGACAAAGAATAACAGCAAATTCAGTCTTATATTAACCTGCGACAAGAAATTTCGGACATTTTCACTTGTTTAAAGGATCACAATTCACGATTAATCAACTCAACGCAGCGGCTGATTTTTAATTTCTGACTCAAAACTCACATCCACAAACTCTGCGTGGAGGGAAGGATTGAAACAGGCGGTTTCTGATACGCAGCGGTGCTACTCTGAACCTCGACGACTGGAGAAAGCAGAGCTCAAACTGCCTGCAGGGGTTTGTTCATATCAAGCCTGACAGACAAATGAGTGGAGAACAGAGGAGACACTGTGCTCTGCCTCTGTGTGAGGGCACATTTGCAGCGAACACACTCTGAAGGGCTTTGACACCTGCTGCTACCAACTAATTAAATGGTATGGCAGCTAATATAATTTGACAGTTATCAGTGGCGAGACAAACATATACAGTAATTAAGGGGCCAAGTTTTGACTCAAGAATAATACCTACTGCTGCCATGAAATTAATGACTTATCAGCCTCCCTGCAAAACACAAAATTACCTTCTGTAAACTAAACAGAATGTTTTTCCCTTCATGTTCACAAGCAATGCATTCAAAAAGGGCAGGATTAGACTTTCTTTTCAAGTGATCTAAAGCAACAGCCCCCAGTGTTAATTCTCTCTGTGTGTTTATTTATTCGTTACTGGTGCGGAGGAGTTCTACCGTTGAGGAAGACGAGGAAGACGCTCGGGTAGGAGAGCTCCTCTCCACACAGCAGGTTGACGTCTTCCACGCCGAGGTTGAAGGCCAGTTTGATGATGGGACCGTCCTCCATGTCGGTGGTGATGTGAGTCATCAGCGCCAAGTTCTTCACCAGACCGCAGGCCTACGGACGCACGAGTTTCACCAGATGTTATCAGTGTGGGAATACACGACAACACAGAACCACATCAGATCAGACTGCAGCAATACTTTATGGGCTTTAAAGACATTTCAGTTGCATCTGTTCTACTCAACAAGAGCTGAGACATGTGGCTCAGTTCAGCTGTACAGACCTGCTGGACTTTAACCATCACAGGGATGAAAGAACATTATGTCTACGTTCAGACAGCAGGCTGAAGTGACCCAAGTGGTCCCCAATGCGACCTGTATCTGATCCTTTCATGACAGTCTGAGCAACACAGATCTGATTTTTTCAGATG